GATGTACCAACTAGATTCAGATGTACTCTGTTTGCAGCTCCCTGGTTGGTGGGGCCCCGATGCTGTAGGATATGGGATGAATGGATATTGAGAGGATGTAAGGCTTGACGAGTGTAAAAGGGTTCAAAGGGTTTAAGGGGTTTAAACAAGGGGGGCTGCTGAAAAAGGCTGGGCCAATAGATAAGGGGCATTTCAGGTCGGGATGGGGGATATAGGCAGCTCCACGGGATAGCGAAGCCCCGGACTGAGAAGTTTAATGGCCACAGTCCCCCGCCAAATTACGATTACCAATCTGTGTGTTGAAAGAAAAGAAAAGAAAAGAAAAGAAAAGGGCAAAAAAAAAAAAAAAAAAAAAAAAACCATCCTTCACCCCTTAAGTACAAGTATCAAAGAAGGAGATGGAGGAGGAGGAGGAGGAGGAGGAGGCGGCATGGTCTCTAGGTTGTGTTCTGTTTGGGTGGATGCAGATGGTATTCTTAGCAATTAGTTGGAATTAGTCTTTGCTGACTCTGTAGAAGAAACCACATCCTGAGCATTAAGTATGAGTCTCGAAGAAGACGATGGTGGAGATTGAGGAGGAGGAGGAGGAGGAGGAGGAGGAGGTTGTGTTCTGTTTGGGTGGATGCAGATGATATTCTTAGCAATTAGTTGGAATTAGTCTTTACTGACTCTGTAGAAGAAACCGCATCCTCAGTATTAAGTATGAGTCTCGAAGAAGACGATGGTGGAGATTGAGGAGGAGGAGGAGGAGGAGGAGGAGGAGGAGTCATGGTCTCTAGGTTGTGTTCTATTCTGGTGGCAGATGGTATCCTCAACAATTAGTTGGAATTAGTTGGAATTAGTTGTTGGAATAGTCGAGGAAGTAGCAGAGACTGCACAGACTGCAGAGTCTGCAGAGTCTGCATTTCTCGGAAGTATTTGGGGTAAAAAGTACTGAAAACTAAAATGGAATTTCCATGCCTTATTATTTACTCCGCATTTTTGTTGAAGTTTCGTATGGGACCCTTAGATATGCTATTGCTAAATGTAAACCGGATGATGCAAATAGGAGAGGTAGGCAGCACAGAATAGATTTGTGCTATTAACTCATTATTATTCTGACTTCCTTTCCACTTTTTTTCTGTTGCTGTTGCTCCACGACTAGCTCACATTTTTACAAGTTTACAACTTTACATGCTTTGATTATTTGGACTACTTGTCGTACTGTGAGTGATGTGTGCTGTTGATCTCTGAATTATGCTATTATCGTATCCTTTTTCTTCTTCTTCTTCTTCTTCTTCTTCTTCTTCTTCTTCTTCTTCTTGAAACCACCACTACCTCCGAGCCGCTTTTTTTGGAGGCGGAAAATAACTGCGTGCCAAGCTTTGCCGAAGAGCCAGCGCGAGCTTTTTTTCTTGTGTTTTCGCAGGAGCCAGCCTCCAAAGAATGCGCTATATACTATATAGGTTATAGTACCGTTTTGCGGCTCTTGCCACATTCTTAGGACGTTTCGAGTTTGCCTGCAAAAGGTAGTGGAGGTTTAAAAATTAAACCACTACTACATGGCCCCAGCCTTGCTGGAAAAAAAAAAACTCGTCGCCCATCCGAAAACGTCGGGGCTGGGCCACCATTGATAAGTTCCATCCCACGGCCAACTGCAACTTTTTCTCAGTTCAGGACCTACCTGAGATAACTCTGTTTTTTTAACTTTTTTTTTTTTTTTTTTTGCCACAAGCTCCATGCTATTTGTGAGGTGCCTCATGTGATGCGACACTGGACCCAATTTCCAGCAGGTGACGCTCCTCACAAATAACACGGAGCTTGTGGCGGGGGGGGGGGGGGGGGGGGGGGGGGGGGGGGGGGGGGGGGGGGGGGGGGGGGAAGGGGGAGGGAGGAGGAGGAACAAAAAAAGGTGTGTAGTATGTGTGCGGGTGGTTTAAGACTGTATTAACTTTAAACCACCACTACCTGCAGACCTCAGAGTTTCAGGTAGTAGCCTACAAGTTGAAATGTCAGGAGGCTGCTGGGCCCGCCGTCGATAAAGTCCATCGGCGGCGGCGGCCGTGCCTTACAGGCCTCCACACTTCGTGGAGCCCATTCGGTGACAGGCGTGCTGCAGCTAGTGGTGATGGAAAAAAAAAAAAAGAAGTGTGTACTACTGTATTAACCTAAAGGGATAACTTGCAAAATACCCTCATAAGTTGAGATATATGGCAAAATGCCCCTGAAAGCTGTGGGTAGAGCGGAATACCCATCTGGGCCGAAATCTTTGTGTTGTGCCCCTGTCGGGCGGGTGTGCAACTTTGCAATCTGGACCTCCCCGTTTCAAATTGGGCCTTGGCCTTTTGCAATAGCGCCTAGGAGAAGTTGGCAAGTACTGGGGCATTTTGCAAAGTTGGACCGTACCCGGTAGGGGTATATTGCAAAGATGGGGATCCAACCGACGCCAGGGGTATTTCACAAAATAGTTTTTTTGTCAGAGGGGCATTCTACTTCACCCACATCTTTTAGGGCTATTTTGGCATATATCTCAACTTATGGGGGTATTTTGTAAATTATCCCTACCCTAAAACATACACACTCACAAAACAAAACAAAAAAAGACTGTATTAACCTATGTCCTTAACTCATTCCATGTCTTTTTCTTTTTTTCTTTTTTCTTTTTTTTTTCTTTTTTTTTAAAACGCCGGGGTAGCGTCACTTGGGGGGAGTGGGGTGGTAAGAGCATCCTCCCCAGGCCTACTGTGTGATCCGGTTGCTCCTTTCTATTGGCGGGAAGCTACACCAGCTGGAAAAACGGGTCCAGCATCCCAAATGTACAATTAAGGAGCAGTAAAAAAAAAAAAAGGCAAGACAAGAGTAAGTAAGTTCTCTTGCCCACCAGCATCGACTACCCTGGCACAGCCGGCAGAGGGGGGGGGTTCACTGTGCAGCTGATCATCACAAGATTCTGTCCTGTTCCACCACCAGTGCTGTAAAACTCATGCCATGTGTCTCCTGTCTTGGCAGCTAACCTTTTTTTTTTTTTTTTTTTTTCTTGTGTTGTATGGGTCAGCGCCCGGTGCATCTGCACCAGCTACTACGTCTTTGGAGGGAAGTATGTCAAGAGAGGCAAAATCCAGAGGACAGGCAAAGCATGCAAGGAGCTGCAATGGTGAAGAGAAGCCAAGCAATCTGCCTCAGCTGGCAAGCAGGAGAAAATCTGAGGAGAAGGTTGAGATGGCAGAGAACGGGGGAGGGGCAGCGGCATCTGCTGAGGATAGGGGACGGCTTTCCGCAACTCCAGGAGGTGCAGAAGGAGGTAAATCAGACCAACATCAGCAGCAGATCACCGGCCAAGCTGGGAGTCGATCTGCGCCATTGGATTTCTCATCTAGATTGATGCCTGAATTTCAAACATCCTCTAGTGGAGCAGGAAGTGGAGGAGGAGGAGGAGGAGGAGGAGGAGGAGGACAGGTATTAACAGGCGACAAGGAGGATAAGGATTTTGTGACGAAATCTGCAAATTATGATAATTATCCACATTCGACGTACCGGCAAACATTGGTTCCAAGTTTAGCAATCAGTTTCATGCCTGCGAGAGGAGATGAATCTGGTCCAGTTATTGAACATCCAAAGTCACTGTGGTCTCAGCCTGGTCTTGCCACAACAGTCACTCCACAACAGTTACATGCGAAATCCCAATTGATAGCAGAACGAGAAGAACGTGTAAATACGGTACCCGTGGACGCGATTGTGATCACCTCAGCCCGCCCAACAGCTGAGCTTTTGACGCCAATACTGAGCCCCACGCCTACACCCATACCGGTGCCTGTACAGGTCACAGGGGCTTTGAGAAACATGCCAATCGGAGAACGCGGGAGAAAGAAGGGGAGGCGACCATCGGTGAGAATGAGTCGCGCAGAGATCAAGCAGGCTGTGAAAGCCAGCGCAAATTCTTTTCTACACAGTCAGCTTGTTTGGGCAAGCATCCTCGGCCTCACGTATAGCCTCATCGCAGGAAAGTATGTAAGAACTTTTCTTTTCAGAAAGTTAACTCTTTTTTCTTTTCTAATCTTTAAAAGGCTTCTATCTAAAATTTAAAGCGGTTCCAACAAAAAAAAAAAAAAAAAAAAAAAAAAAATTAAAACGGTTTTCGTCGGTGTGGATTTGACTTTCTTTCCTGTTGCACTTCTTAATTAAATTTACCTTTTTTGTTTTCCTTTTGCTCGTTTGCTTGTTTCCAAATCGTATCGTACCCTTTTACGATACTGCAAACACAGTGAAATGCAGTTTTTATTTTTTTTTAACCACTAGTACCTTTGGCGTCCGGTTTCGACAAGTCCTGGCCAGTACCCGAACTTTCAGGAGGCCGAGCCCGGCGTTGATCAATCTGATCGGCGGCCGCCGTTTCGTTTCGGCCTCCTGAAAGGTCGGATGCCGAGTATTTTTGAACCGACAAAGGTACTGGTGATTTAAGGAAAGTACGTTCATGTCACATCAGAGTTTCATAGGGGGCAAAAAAAACATGTGTCGGAAAAAGAAACTAGGCGCGAGTTCGAAAAGGGCAATGACAGTACCGCGGCCGTGGTGTGAGGCCTGGTGTCATATTTTACAGGGGCCGGCCGTCGTGTCAGATGGCAAAAAAAAGAAAAAGAAGAAAAAGGCCAACGGACACTTTTCGACCCAAATTGCCGTTTAGAAGTCGACGCGTGATGTCTTTGTCATTGGCACATTGCATGTTTTTTTGTACTTCAGTTGTCTCTTTTTTTTTTTCTAATTATTATTTGTTAGAAATCCTTTTAGGGATAATTTGCAAAATACCCCCATAAGTTGAGATATATGCCTAAATGCCCCTGAAAGATGTGGGTAGAGCGGAATGCCCTTTTGGACCGAAATCTTTGTGTTGTGCCCCTCCCAGGGGGGTGTGCAACTTTGCAATCTGGACCTCCTCCCCATTTCAAATTGGGCCTTGGCCTTTTGCAATAGCGCCTAGGAGAAGTTAGCAAGTACTGGGGCATTTTGCAAAGTTGGACAGTACCCGGTAGGGGTATATTGGAAAGATGGGTTCCAACCGATGGCTGGGGTATTTTGCATCTTCATCTTCTTGGTTGGCACTGCACCTGGAAGGCCCCAAGTGGGGTTATGCTTGAAGGAAGACTATGGGGGTGGAATGTGGCATGGACGTAGTAGTGGGAGAGGCATGGTACCCTTGCTTTGTCCTCTGAACATTGGAGCTACTAGCCTCCCGATGGTCCGCCATAGCCACCGGCTCAGTCTAGGTTTAGAAGAAGGTGTAGGATGGCTATGGTAGACTTCTTGAGTGGCTAGCAGTAAAGGGAAGCTGAGGATTTGTACATTGAACGTGGTCCATTCATTCATTCATTCATTCATTCATTCATTGTTGTTGTTATTATTAGTACTAATAAGATGTTGGGAGAGAAGCTGGAGGTGGGAGTTGATGACGAGATGAGGGAGGAGTGACATGGCTTCTTGCTGGTTTCAGTACCCTTTTTTTTTTCCTTTTTTTTATTTTAAATGGGAACAAAGCTCCAATCTATTCGTCGGGAGCAGCACGTGCTGGGAACCGGGCCCAGCGTCCCATATAGAAAATTACATAGGAGTTTGTCCTTTACAGAAATGTCCTTGACTTTCTTTTTCAACTTCCAAAATTGGGCCGAAGGCTACTCTTAGTACTCTTCCTCATATGCCTCTCTCCTTGTGTGGTATGGCATAAGGGAAGAAGTGGTGGGGAAGGGGGAAGAGAAGGGGGAAGGGGGAGGGAGGGGAGAGGGTTGTTCTCTTTGTCCTCAGCTTGTTGACAAAATTTTTGCCTTAGCACTCATTTTGTCTTTTTCTTTTCTACTGTGACATCGGTGGTGATACAAATTCAACACGATGAATTGACGGCGGTTGAATTGACGGCGGCGAATTGACGGATGCAACCGCTTTGCAGACTTGGCTTCAAGATGCCTACGATTATCGACAAATCCTTGACACTCATGGCGAACTTGTGCCTCGGTCTATCAATGTTCAGCTTGGGTACGTATAATTCTCACGACTTGCACGGTTGCACCTGTATGTGTACGAGTAATACCTCAGGATGTTTACTATGACTCTTTTTACGGGTAAACACATGTATATCATACATAGCTGCATAACATTCCTTTTTTTTTCCAGGTTTTTGTATGTACTCCCGCACACGGGAGTACGTGTATGCACCTACGTGTCGCGTACTGGAATACATGCATGCCTGTATGTGAAACCCCCCTACACGTACACCATGCTACCCACCTTATAATTAAATTATGTTTGTGCCAATGTGCCGGATCGGGACACTGGATCAATCCAGACGTCTGGCCGGACCTTGGTGCAGATTCCTCCAGACCATCCGCATTTCCGGACAGCATCGAGACATCGGGACAAAGAAGATCTGGACAGTCGGGATGGGTCTCAGAGGGCTGCTGGTCATGCCCCTGGCTATTTTCATGCCCGCCCCCCTCCCCCCCCGTCAGTGGGCCATAAAAATGTCCTCCCACGATGATCTATATGGTATCGGGGCTTGCAGGAGGACCTTTTCAACTCTGGACATGATCTCGTCCAGGTACAACCAAGGTCCGGTTGTAATTGCAGTCGCATACATTCAGAAAAGTCCAAGTGGGATACGCGCTCTCTCTCTTATGGCCGTTGGATGTATCTGGCCGTGATTGTGGCATAAAGGAAAAGCAATTATGCAAGGAGAAACGATAGAAAAAGAGACTGCAATTGAAGTGGGATATTAGCCACTACCTTTCACAGGCAAACTCAAAACAACGATTTGCCTTTTTTTTGGGGGCGGGGGGGGGGGGGGGGGGGGGGGAAGAGGTGGGGGGAATTGCTGAAATCCCCCTGAAAGTTGGGGTAATTCCCTCAGATATCCCTGAAAGGCATGGGTATGGCCAAATGCCCCTGTGACAGCTGTGAACATTTGTGAAATACCCCACTCACCAATTGGACCTGCCATCTTGTGCATATACCCCTACCAGGCCCTGTGCAACTTGTCCATACGCCCCAGTATTTCTGGGCCTTGTGGCCGTTGGACCCGTGGCGAAAAATTTTGCGAATGCCCCTACCGGGTAGCTGCCAAGTTTTCCGTTTGCCACTGTGGCCGTTCAAAGCCCTACCTGGAGTGTTTTTCTGCCAATCGAGCAGATTGTTGGGCGGAGGAAAGGTGGCGGAGACGGAGACGGAGACGGAAAATGACGAGCCAGTTGCAGAGCTGGACGTGGAAAGGAGGGAGTAGAGGAGGAGGAGGGAATATGATAGAGGTGAATGTGTGAAGGCCGGAGTAAATGAGGACGAGCAAAGGTGATGGAGACAAAGAGGGAGGAGGAGGAAAGGTGGGAGGGGGAGTGAGGAAGAGAAAGAAGATCAAGTGGAGGATGAAAGGTGTGAGGAGGGGGAGGAGGACGAGGAAGACGAGCAAGTGGAGGGGGAAAGGTGTGTCACTTGGAAGCATCTTACCTGGGCGCCTATGACAACACACTACCAGCAGAACCAGCGGTGAGGGCAACTCGCAACGAGCGAAACGGGGACAGCAAGACTCTAGCAGCGACGTCCATAAAAAGTTAAAAACAGGTTCAAAAGTCGAATTGAACCGGCGTCAAGTTCGATGTTGGGCAGGCAGAAAAGATGTGCCTGCCCAGTAGAGGGGAAGATCGCAAAAGAAGTGCCTCGGCCTCCGCAGTCCATGACCAAGGGCATATGGCGAAGTTGCCCATCGACAGGACAAGGGCATGTGCAGACATTTGGGGCATTTCACCGTACCCCTGTGCTTTAGGGGTATCGCAACCGTATCTGACTAAATACCCCAACTTTTACGGGCATTTGCCGAATTTCAACAATTTCCCTTTCTCCCCGCAACCGAAAGAAAGAAAGTAGTCTTTTTAAAAAAAAAAAAAAAAAAAAAAAAAAAAAAAAAAGAGCTTGCCTGTAACTGGTGGTTTGATGGCTAACATCCCAGTTCAACTGCAGTCTCTTATTTTAATATTTCTCCCTGCATAATGGCTTTCCTTCTTGCCACAATTCTGGCCACAATCACAGCCAGATACATCCAACGGCCATAATAGAGAGAGAGCGTATCCCACCAGTACTTTTCTGGGTCTATCTAACTGCAATTACAACTCAATGTGGGTTGTACCTGGCATTGATCAGTTTCTGCAAGGTAGGGCCCTTGCGTAAGATTCTCAGCCAGTCGGTGGGGACCATCTCTGCCACTTTTTCTAGAGCTTCTTGAGGGCGGTGGCAATATCGCAGTTTTTCCCGTAGATGATCCACTCCCTCTTCTCTGTGTCTCATATATCCCGTACCCTTGTGACCCCTTTCTTCACCCCGCTCTGCCACGGCGAGTCCATGCAGTGGAGGGTTTGGCCATTCGTGTCTACTATCCATCTATTGCTGAAAAGGGGTTGTCGCGCTACCTCCTCCCATCTTAGTGGCGGTATTTTGTTGGGGAGGGGGAGGCTTCTCCAAGTGCTGAGGAGGTTGGGCCAGAAGGGGTCCTTTGTCAAGTCATCCTTGACTGTTTGTCTGGAAGTAACGGGGGGAGAATCCCTTTGTCGGGACGCTCTACGGATGGGCCAACCTATATTTTCCAGCCACATTAGCGGATCATTATCTTCGTTTGTTTGAGGGGCTAATCTAGAAATTTGTTTCAGGGTCAATCATTGCCAAGGGGATTCAGTGTTGAATATAAGCCGCTTAATCCACTGTATTGCCAATGCTTTTGTCTGCGTGAGCGGATCGATGATTCCGAGGCCTCCCTTTGTTTTGGGCTGGGTTATGGAGTGTCATGCCACGCGGCTGATTACGTTGTGTTTATCATGGGCCCCTCGCCACAAAAAGGCAGCTATTTGACGTTGCAGGGGGCGTAAAGCCTTTTTCTCCAAGGCCCATATTGCCGATTTGTACCACATCGAGGTCAGAACTACATTGTTGATTCTAAGGGAGCGTCCCCCTAGTGAAGTATGCTTGTCTTTTCATAGTGCCATTTTAGCGAGGGGAGGGGCCGTAATCCATTTTTGGTTGGTAAACGGTCTACCTCCAGCCGTCATTGAGATTCCGAGCACTCTTATAGGGGCCTCCGTGAGGAGCTACTTGAGTCTCGGTTGTTCAAGGGGTCTCACTCCTTGGTGGTGAATCCACCACCCTTGGTTTTTGTTGCCCCAATTCACTTTCATGTCTTACAATTGGCAAAAGCGATCCATCATCCATTGTATCTCTTCCATGAATTCTCTTGTAGCATCTACCATTAGAGTCGGGTCGTCAGCAAACATTGAGCAAACCGGGATAGCTTCTTTGGGTATTGCCGACTCCTGAATCCTTTTTATATCTTTATGGGTCCTCAGATTGGTTGTCAGTGCTCCCATGACTATCACGAAGAGATAGGGGGCGATAGGATCTCCCTGACTCACTGATCTCTGCAGTTCAATGGATGGAGCCAGCTTGTTGTTGACCATGACTCTGGTTGCGGCGTTCACGTGCAATATTTGTACCCAGCGTCGAAAGTATGGCCCAAAGTTAAGTTTTTATAAACATTTGTCAAGGAAGTACCAATCTGCGTGGTCATAAGCTTTTTCAAAGTCTATGAAGATAAGTGCTGCATTATTTTTGGACTGCCTTGTTAGCTTAATCATCTCATTCACCAGGAGAATATTGTCCTGGATACTTATCCCTTGAATGAACCCCGTCTGATCCGGGTGAATGATGTCTGTCATCATTGGTTCCAGGCGGTTAGTTAGGGCTTTAGCCATCAACTTATAGACCACCGTAAGCAGCGGGATTGGTCGGTAGTTTCTGATGTTAGTCCTATCACTTTTTTGTAAAGAAGTGTGAACACATCTTGTCCCACAAATTCCCCCATTCGACCCGTTTCCCAGACCTCATGATAAAAATCCATAAGATCCTGTGAGATAAACGGCCACATAGCTTCTCATAACTTCTTAGGTAATTCGTCTATGTTTGGAGTTTACTCCCGTCCATTTGCCTCAACGCTTCCCAAATTTCTTCTTTTGTTAAGGGGTTGTCAAGCGCATCTCTTTGTTGGGCCATGAGGGCTTTATTAAGTGGGGCTAAGAAATCCTCAGTTTCGAGCTTCTGCTGGTCCTTGGACTGGTTCCCACAGGTGGATGTGAACAATTTCTGTTAGAAGTCTCTTTCTTTTGACAGTGGGGCAATTAGAAGTCTCTTTCTTTTGACAGTGGGGCAATTAGAAGTCTCTTTCTTTTGACAGTGGGGCAATTTTGCACCCATTGCGATATGCCTCAATCCTCCGACCTTATCCTTGAGTTCATAACGTTTTATCAATGGGTACAAACGCTGTCCGAAGGGGTTTCAAGGGGTGTGAGATAATTTACTGTTCTATTTTTTTTTTTTTTGAATTAAATTTCATAACGAATTTTGGGATAACCCTCAGCCAACAATTGTTCGATTTGCAATCCTGCACGACATCGTTTTTTTTAATTTTAAAGATTTCTTTTATTGTTTTTCTTTTCTTGTTGCACTGGGGCTATCCAAAATTGTGTCCAGGGCCCAGGTCCCACTCGCAAAAAAGATAGGATCGCGCTCCTGAATCTGGATATGTTTTATGCAGAGATGCAGAAAAGCAGTTCAATCTCGATTTCCTGCACATCTCCATAAGCCCATCCAAATTCAGGCATTCCATCCGATTCTCTTTGCTAGTGGGATCACACCCCATGACTTCCCAGTTCGTCGGGCTGGTAGCCCAATATATGAGTAATACTCTTGCATATAAATGAAAAGAAAAGTTATGGGTGTGTGCATCGATCGTAATGCTTGCATACTTATGCCAGGCTCCATTGCTCCATTAGTATTAGGCTCATGCTCAGGATGCATGGGCCTGGGTATAGTCACCAAGCCCGTGATTTAAATTTATACAACGAAATTAAAAACGTCGAGGCCCGGTCCTATATACGTTGTCCAGGGATATGAACCTGAAGTCCCAGGTGTGTGTCTCATTATAAAACAATACATTATTCAATGATTATTGTACATTTTTTCTAAAGAATACCATCAAACAAATATATACAAATTTCCAAATTATATTTACAAAGTTTTTTGTTTTTTTTTTCAAAGTTTTTTTACAAAATATTATTCAATGGAACAATATTTTGAAAACATTCTCTATTTGCACCCTGAAAACCAAAACAAATAACCCCAAGGGGCAAAAGAGAATAAAAAAAGAAATATGATGAGATAGAATAAGAAGATGCACATCACGTGAGACTCTTTTTTCATCTTGAGGAAAACGCGATATTCGCAAAAAGTGATGGAACTAAGTTTGGGTAAATCAACAGTTTGGTGCAATTGGTAAGAAAAAAAAAATTCAGTAAAAACTACTAAAAAGGGAAAATTTAAGTCGAGTTCCTCTGTATGCAATTGTTTGCAATTGATTTTTGTGTGCGAAAAATCAAACTTTTAAATATTCTTCTAGTTTAGTCAAATGAAAGTGAATCCCAATATTGAATTTTGTAAAATCATTATGAGATGAAATCTCTCTCTCTCTCTCTCTCTCTCTCTCTCTCTCTCTATCTATCTATCTATCTATCTATCTATCTATTTATCTATCTATCTATCTATCTATAGATAATCTATCTCTCTCTCTCTCTATCTATCTCTCTATCTATCTATCTCTCTATCTATCTATCTCTTTCTCTATCTATCTATCTCGTTGTGTGTGTGTGTTATCACATTTGTTATACAGGACTCCAAAAAAAGAGCACGATTGTGTGATACTGTTTGGTTGGGCTTTCACCAACTCATCAAGAGATTGAACTCTGACAGTCTCCCTAGAATGCATTAGACTAATACGTAGGAACTCACCACACCACCCATAGTTAGCCATATTCTTTTTTTTTTTTGACTTTATTCACATAAATCCTGTAATCTTAATGGATTATCAATACAAGTGCCTGATAAAAATGGCAATAAGTATAAAAAATTAGTCTTCGACCGCCATAATACCCACTCTACACTCTATACTCTCCCTCTGCCATGGATGTTCATTAGCATAACCACCGCTATGGTCCCTACCTTAGCAAGTTAGCAACATCGATCCGCCTGAATGAAGAGCACAAAGTTGTGATTTATATTGTCATATTCACTTAGACACAACTCCTTAAAAAAAACGATGCCCGTGTCAAAGTACTTCGTTGGAATAACTCGAACTTCACCAACTCGTGTCAGTTTACGTGTACGTATTGTCTCCATGACAGGACTGTTTATGGCTTTGCAATCAAAATTGATTCCTATTGGTGCATGGACTACTACGTGGACCTTCTCATTGAGACTTTTTTGGGGACCTCTAGTGGTGACAATAGTTACTTACCTTTTCGGATGCAGAGGTCTCTTGCTCAAAGTAGCCTTCATACAGGTATGTTCCATCTTCAAGATTTGTTTGAGTTTCAAAATCCTTATTTCAACTTTCAAACTTCAAAATCATTTGTCTTCTCCATCAAATAGTTTTGCATGTTTCCTCATTTTTTTATTATTATTATTTTTTTTAGTGAGACGATGCTCCAATCTATTCGTGGGAAGCAACACGGCTGGGAACCGGGCCCAGGGTCCCTTATCAGAAACAAAAATGAATTACCGGGGTCACTACCCAACTTCAGTTAAGAACAATTAAAGAAAAATAAAAACTCTTAAACATTCAGAAAATGTGTGTCAACAAACCTCCCGACCACGAATCAGAGTTTCCCCAATTTCATGTTCGAACCCAATTGATTTTTTACTCAAAATCGATCCTTTTTCACCTGTTTTGAATTGTCTTGCCAAAGCAAGTTTCATTACCATCCTAAGATGTCGAAGAATTAGGATGTGATTCAGACTTGGGGATAGTGTACCAATTCAGTTGCAACTACTTCCCTCTTGCCAAACAATTTGTAATGTGTTGAAAATCCATAAACTGATCCAATTATTAAGTGTAAGACGCAATACAAACATTGTTTTTACACAGCATTGATTTCCCTCTTAGACGAGCTTATTCATTACATACATGGAAAAAAAAAAAAAACGCGATTTTTTGTCCAAGATTCCAAGCGCAAGTAGGATATGAACGTGATGATACACTAAGAGCAATAAACACCATCATTCCACTTTAATAACTAGTAACTACTATAGTTCTTCGTTTATTTATAAAAGGAAACATTCACTTTTATTTGTGAAAAATAATCACTTCTTACAATTATGTAATTATCCTATCTTCTGCGTTTTTGCTAGAAGAATATGAGTGTGAAATGTACTGCTCAGGCCTTTTAGCTTAATCAAGGCATCAAATTCCTGGTCGAAATCAGAACTCCATATAGTCGTATCGTTGTTTCGCATAATTTTCATCACTACATAAATGATTTCTTTTTTTCATTTAAGGAGTGTGTGCAAATGTCATTATATGTCAAACATGACTTTAAGGAGTAATAATGATAAGATTTGAACTCAAATTTTACAACAAATAAAATTGAATATACTCGTAAAATGAATGCAAAGATCTAACTAAAGATTCTGTTTTTTATCAAGAACGTTCGCGATTTTTGGTGTGACTACCAATTAACAATATTGAATATTAACAATATTTAAACAACTTCTACTGACCTAATACGTGTACTACATAAAAATAGAATAAAATAAATACCCAAGCTACTACAGTGGCCCAGGACTACTTGTCCGGCCAAGTTAAAAAAATAAATAAAAAAAATCTAGGTTACTGGGCCGGACGCCCGAGACCCCCCTGACCGTCCGGGATGTCCAACCGGATGTATGGTCGGACGTCGGACCGGACAGGGCATGTCCGACCTAGCGCAAAAAAAAATAAAATAAGAATAATAATAATAATAATAATAAAAATGTTTTTTTTTTGAAAAAAATCATGTGGCTTCCACCTTGCATTAGGTGTATGCCACCAAATTTTTGGATCATTTGGGCCAGTAGAATAAATAATACAAATCTTTAAAGATTCATTCCCCATCTATACCCCTCCTATCCCCACCAAAACCCCTTCTACCCCCCTCTCCCCCCCCAAATACCACCCTATCAGCAAATGCTCAGAAAAATCTGAATTTTTTTGTGGGGGGTCTCTAGACCATGCGCAACACTGTCATTTTTTTTTTAATTATTATTATTTTTTTTTGGTGCCAAAAAGGCGTCGTCCGGAAATCCGAACGACGGGGGGGGAAAACGTCCGAGGGCGACGTCCGGTCCGGTGGAGACGTCCGGTCTCCGGACCATTGGTAACCTAGAAAAAAATCTATTTTTATTTTTATTTGTACTTCGATCAAGAATTTCGATCTTATCCTGAGGCAAAAAAGTTGGGCCTAGCTCAGTTGATTAGGCGAGCAAGTGGCATTCAGGAGGTCGTGGGTTCAATCCCCACTGACCACATGTGGTACTCTTGGTGCCAGCCAACTGAGATGGTTGGCTTGCTCCCCCTGTTCGGTATTGGTGAAGTCTTTGGCCATCAAAGGTGTGTGCGTGTGTGTGTGTGTGTGTGTTGTGGGTTGTGGGTTGGATGTGGTGTATGGGAGCGTGCCGGTCATAGAAACTTTTGTTACTCGATAGGGGCGGGGGAAGGAGATGGAAGGCACAGCTACTTGCAAATTTCAGTTTTTGCTTTAAGCACCGGCAGCTCTCCCCTACTCCCTCACCACAGTCGATTAGGGCGGGGCCGGGGGGCACCATTCATCCTCTTAATTGTGAGAGGTAGCTATGCCTGTAGGGGTCCCCTGTATAGGCTTAGGAGTAGTGATAGGTAGGTAGGGGAAGGTGAAATTGAAAGACGAAATCACCGCTACCTCATACACTGGGATGCTCACTACCGGTTAACGGGGAGTGCCAATTTTCAGCCCCTGACTAACAAGCCCAAAACTGAAATTAGGGTTTTGGCGTCAAATTTTTCTGTTTTTGGTTTCTGCTTTTTTCGCCTGATTCTGTTTTAGGTCAAGGTCTCTGTGTGTCAAATTTGGTGTCAAGCGCATTTGTTAGAGAACGAAGAAACGATCGAAGAAACGATTGAGCCCATTCCAATCTTTTCTTCTTTCTTTAACAAATGCACTTGATAGTGTTGACACCAACTTTGGCACACAGTAACCTTGACCTAAAAACAGAAACAGGCAAAAAAAA